TTAAATATACTTTACTGAAATAAAAAATAATGAGATAGATCGAACGAAAGATTAATGATTAACTGATACCATTAACTTTATATAATATATTTATGATATTTTTAGTATAATACACGGCGACGTTATTATTATGATTGTCTTTTTTTTTCTTTTCAAATAAATTAACGAAACGACGAGGTATTAATTATTATTGGTAAAATAATTATTTCATTAATGTATGCTAAAGAGTTATTAATAATTCAAATGGAATTTCAAGTAGGTGAATTGGAAAAAAAAAGAAAAAAGGAAAATAATAGGAAAAGAGGGACAAAAGAGAGAGAGAGAGAAATAAGAGAGAGGAATATCATGATGTTTCGTGGGTGGCTAGTGTTTATATTGGAAAACGCGTACTCTAGCGGCGCCGCCGGCGGCGACGACGCCAGGAAGGCGGAGATGAGCGAGAACTCGCTGAGTGGGAGAGAGGTTAGGGGGAGGTAAAGGGGGGAAGTAAAAGGAGGAAACGAGGAGGAGCACAGCAAAGAGGAAGGCAAAGAGGAAGGCAAAGAGGAAGGCAAAGAGGAAGGCGCGTGTCGGAACCGTCCACCGTAGAGAGTCTCGACCACCTTTCTACTTATACCTTCTTCTTATTGTTAGTACCTTTTCTTTTTGCTTTCAATACACAACACACACACACACACACACACACTTCGTCTCGGTGCGTGAGATTCGTAAAAGAAGAAATAGATGAAGAACGTTATTGAAGATGATGAAAAATTATAGGAACAAGAAGAAGAACATTAAAAAGATGAACAGGAAAAAATGATAAAGCAAATAAAAGAAGAAGAACGTGGTGGTCCTTGCGAGAAGTAGAGGCCGTTCAAGAGACTACTATGTTGATAGTAGTAGTAGTAATAATAATAATAATAGTAGTAGTAGGAGTAGGAGTAGTAAGGATGCTGCTGATTCTGCCGCTGTTCTTTAGGAGGAGGAAAAGGCTACTGTCTAAGCGAGGCCATTGTTGTGTCGAGAACTTAATATGCATTTCTCTTTCATAGAGAATCTACCGTACTTTGCGAAATTTCTTTCTTAGATCCCGTTTCTTCGTCTTATATTTTTTTTTCAACATTTTTTTTTTTTTGATCATTCGTATGTAAACTTTTAACAAACTTTTAACAATATATATATAAATAGATTTATCTAATCTAAGCACGAATTTACTTGCGATTAACAGTTTTAGATAAAGAGTAAAAATAATCGTCGATCGTGCATACTTAAAGAAAACTTTTTCAAAAGACAGTTGAAAGAAAAAAAAAACAAGACAAAACCCAAATAAAAACTTTGACCATAACTAACTGTACTCTAAAAACTTTAGCAACATCCTCTTTCAAAGATTTATACGAGCTTGCAAACTTCTAAACCTCTATATAATATCGGTATAATAATACAAGCACATTAATACTTAGGTGCATAGCACAGATAAACGTTTTAAGAGTAGTATCACCCATTCTATTCTTCTCCTCTCTCTCTCTCTCTCTCTCTCTCTCCTTTCTTTCCGACTTTTCCTGCCTATCGTAATTTCGAAGCTTGCCAAAAACGAGATGCATTTTGCGCAGCTGGCAAAAGTATCTTTGGGATTAACTTTACCTACGTACACACACATATGTACTTATATATGCATATACATAGAAGAAGAACGTTGTGTAGAATTTGGTTTAAAACGCTACCGTGTGTTCCGGAAAGAAGAAAAGAGAAGAGTACGCAAAAAGCCACGAATTCGCCACAGATAACCGAGATTCTCTCCTACTTAGTCGAGCTTTGCTGTATCTTCTCTATCCCCCTTTCACCTTCGCCCCTTTTATCATCCAACCATCCTACCCCACTTCCTTCTTCACGCTTCTTCCCCCCTAACTTGTACGCGTCGTTTTGCCCTCGGTCTGTCTCTTTCTATTTCTCGTATTCCGGCCGCACCCTTATATACTTGAATTTACTACGCCATTCACGTTTGCGTCTACATAAATTGTTGCGTCCGACGTACACGTGTGCGCGCGTGCTAACGCCATAGATGAGATACGCTCACGTATACGTGCCTATATAAAATGTATATATATATATTTTTCTATAGATTCGTATGTCGCGCGTTCGCGGCCAGTCAGACCGCAAAGAGAACGCAGAACTAACGCAGAACGAACGCGTAATACACGCGTGAGCGAGAATGTCGCGAGCTACACCCACGACTTTCGGAGTTGAATCAAGTAGAGTCGAGTTTTCCAACATTATGTATCGAGGTTCGGTACGTTTATTTGATTTTTAGGAAAAACTTTTGTAAATATAACTTCAAATTCTCAAAATTCAATAATAATTTATTGAAATATTCTTCTTTTCATTATGTCAAGGATTGTGCATACCGATAGTAGTAGTTACGTTTATCAATTTATTACGTAACGTCAGTTGCATTTGAAATAGATTCTAATTTACCATGATTAGTGCTAATAATAATATAACGTATAATTGTTATATAATAATAAACCGTAAATGACATTATTATTATTATTATTATTATTTTGATATTTTCCAATCAGTCGGGATCGTGGCTAATTTTGGAATGTATAACGGGGAATAGAGAGCAAGGTACGAACGAGGTCCTAATTTTTAATTTCCATTGCTTTTGCCGGTGGCAGAATAGCCGTACTTGGACAAGGGACACAGAGTAAGAGAAAGAGAGAGAGGGGTGAAGGGATAGCAGAGGAACAGGTTTTCAGGTCGGTAGGATGCGAAGGGGCCCTACGAAGCGTGACTACTTGACGATGTGGCCTGGCCTCTTTTTAAGCTTGGAAAATGGTGAACAGGTGTCCCTAAAAACTCGACGCCTCCAACTTTTCTTACCTCTTTTCTCCCTCTTTCTTCCTGTTTCTTATATCTCTTTTCGTTCGCTGTCGTGAGAAGAATTACAAAACGATCCCTCGAAATCAAGATCGGATAAAATAATGTTCATTTATTATTTAAGATACGATTAAATTTATTATCCTTAAAAAAAAAAAAAAAAAAAAACACTTTTTTTCCTCCTCACATAAATGAGAGAGTTCACTTGGATAGATGAATTTTATTCGAGTATCTTTTGGTTTGATATTTCGCGTTAATCAAATTTTTATTTAAAATTGAATTCACCGTTGAGCTGACACTTTTTCACAGGTACGTGTTCTTCTCTGTGGGTCGCGTATAAATATTTCAATATTTCTAAAAATAGTAGGGCACGAGGATACAAGAAGGTTGTATCCTAAATACCCTAGGGAAAAATTCCTACGTCGCAAATGATGCGATTACTCGTGGCCCAAAACTTGCGGGGAATTTTAATATTTCGTACTTTCAACGCGAGTAATGCGAAAGTGTGTGTGTGAGAGAGAGAGAGAGAGAGAGAGAGAGAGAAATGGAATGATATATTTGTAATAGTTCTATTTTTTATCAAAGAAAAGACTTTTCTGATTTAAATCACTGTGTTGTACAGTTTTATTGACTCCCGCGTGTGTATATATTTTACATAACTTAAAGGTAGTGTATGTATAGATGGATCTTATAATCATACATTCGTATACTTATACTTTGTACGTAAAATTAAGCGAAAAGCTGTGAAAAAAAGAGAACTCTCTGTTCAGGATCACAGAATATCTAATTATTATAATTTATTTGGTTCGTTTCTCGTAGGTATTACATACACACGATTTCTGACAAATGCCTGCCTACTCGCCGATTGACAGCTTATTGGCGGCTGTTACGCCATGTACTTAAGACAACAGCATCACCTTAGGCCTTTATATATATATATATATATATATATATATATATATGCTTACTTACGTATTATACACGATTATAAGAAAGTACGAGCACGCATATACACGCACAGGATGCACGAAGTTACACGAAACCAACCATTGCACGCGATCGATGGTTTACGATCGAAATGGTTGTGATCTTATTTTTTGTATAATCGATTGTTGCTACAGTTAATTATTGTTTCAAAATAATTTCCATATATTTAAAGAAAACAGTTTTTTCCACGACCATCGTAAAATGTAGATGATCTATTAATCATCGCTGTAATAAAATAAAACTTGATAAAACTAGAAAATATATTTAGCTTATATTTGATAACGCGGTGGTTTGTTAGTTATAAAGTTTCCAAGAGGAAATTGTCAGAATTTATGTGTATTATTGCCGAAAGAGAGAGAGAGAGAGAGAGAAGATTGAGCGTTAGTCGTAACCGTGTAAAGACAGAGTATCAAAGTTGTAGTACATACGTATTTAGCGAGAGATAAAGGGAAAGGGAAAGGGAAAGGGAAAGGAAAAGGGAAAGGGAAAGGGAAAGAGAAGGCATAGGAGGTTGTAGCTCGCGGATAGAATCGCTCGAGGTCGTTGGAGGAAGAGCGAGTCGAACATCGTGACGTCGTGACGTCTATGTGTATATATAAGAGACTACATTATGCCTTCCGACCTGTTGCTACCCCTCCTCACCCCGTCGAACATTCGCCCAACCCCCTGTGTACCACCAAATGGAGCGTTCGTGCTCTCTTCGCCTCATTGAAAGCCTCCTATTCTCTCTCCCTCTCTACACATACATACATACATACATGTAATACATATACAAAGTTTCTATACTCTTCTCTTTCTAGAATCACTATTTCCTTCTCGTTTCATCTTACTGTTCCTATCTACGTATCGCATATGGTCTATCCGTCTATTTATCTCTCGTCCCATCTCACTCGCTTCAGTTCTTCTTCTCCTAGTAACTTTTACCCTTGTCGTTAGCAATCCTAGTCCGTTCCCCCAGGTACAACTAATATAATCCCTTTTCGATCTGACCCTTGCTCGCTTTTTTTTTTTCGACGAATCTACTAGTCGATATCTTCAGATTCTTCGCTAGATTTAATTTTACGTTACGTTGTTAATTATTTATTAGCGCGTAAGAATAGTTCGTTATTGCGATAATTAATAGGCTTGTATTTGTTGTTATTTGTTTTATGTAGCCTCGGGAGGGGGTGGTTCGATGTTGGTCCCTCCCGTGGCCCAAGGCGGGACGGGCGATCGTCCCGTTGGTGACGCGAGTGGTAGGGCCCAGCAGTCGTCCGGCCCTGCCGGGACAGCAACCCTATGGCCTCTCGCACCAGCGCAGCCCAATCAAGTTCCAAATCAACAGTCCCAAGGAATACCACCCTTGGCTGCTACCCCTGCACCGGCACACAATCAAGGTACATTTGAATACTTATATTTTATATTTCATATCGTTTAATATTTTAATTAGAAATGCTGAACTAACTGATCAAGATACCTTACATGTGAATCGAATAAAACGCATATCGTTACTTTACCTATTTACTGTTATTACAGAGAAATTAATTAGTTCTTTTGATAAATGAACTTCTTAATTAAAAGGTTAACACTAAACCTACTGACACTTAAAGTACACTAGACGACTCCCATATAACACGAGTTTTTACAATGCGAATTCTTACAACGCTCTAAGGATATTGCGACAACTATTTTCGTGTAACCCGATTTTTTTTTACAACACGGTACATGATAAAACGCGGGAATTTCCCTCATTTAAAAATTCAATCTACATTAATTGAGCATTACATTGTTGCTTTCCTTACTGCAATAGTTGATATTAAAGAGTACTCTTTTTCTTTTTCGTGTTTTCTAATACCCTCACATTTTCAAAATATGTGAAATTTATTTGTAAAATACGAAATACAAACTTCGATATTAGTATTGGAAAGTAACGTTTTCTAAGTTAAAAATTATATTGTATAATATAGTTTTAATTAATACGTAATATTGATAAAATCGCGTTTTATTGTAATTTATTTATCTAATATTAAACGCTTTAATAAATGTAGCAAAAGTTTCTTAATTATAAAAGTAGTATTAGTAAAGTTTTATTGTGTAATATGAAAGTTATATAAACACGAGTCTCTCGTAGCCGAAATAGCTCAGTTGGGAGAGCGTTAGACTGAAGATCTAAATGTCCCCGGTTCAATCCCGGGTTTCGGCAAGTGGTTTTTTTTTCTTTTTTTTTTTCTATTTTACAATATCTAATCCTTGTACTTCACGAATATTACTATTTTATAAATTTTTAAAATTATTTTATAAATAATTTATACGTGTTGATAATGATGACAGTGTAACTGCGAGTCAACTTTAGCAATGATGATGTAAAATAAATCGTGTGTGTAAAATCAATTCAGTTCAATTTTCTTTTTTTACCGAATGTCGTAATTACCTGCGGGTATATCTGAAATCGATCGAATTTTACGAGTAAGTAGAAGATGTAAACGAGTTTATACGAATATATGTCTCATTCGTGGAACCGCATTAAAATCTCGTTGTGCACATTTATATTACGATGCATCATGCGTTATAATCGCGTGCCTCACGCGATACCTACCTGACGCAAGTGTAAATGTAAAAGTCTTTACTGTAACTTGAGGCAATCGTAATACATTTCATTAAACCACCAATATCATCGGTACTTTCTTTTAAAGTCGTTCCGATCTTAAACATGAAATATTTCTACTATGGGTCCTACATACGTCAAATCATTGCATTGTTATTCACCGTACACGCGTGATTAGGATTAAATATACACACCGGATATTGCAACGCTTTACAAAGAGCATGCGCAAGCAAGGTTTCCGTGTTTGGTATAAACACATTGATAAATTCAAAGTTACAAGCGAAAGGAAAGGATTGTTTCAAACTCGCGTTGCTTTTGTTTTTATCAAAAACTTCGAGTCTCTGATTAAAATTATTGTAATAAAATAAATGTATCCAAATGATATCAAATTACAATTCTTTCAATAATTTTCAACTTTCGTTTTATAATCTTGTTCGTAAACGGAAATGCGTGTTTAATAAATTACAACGAATCTCTTGGTAATATAAAAAATGTAAGAGAGAGAGAAATTGATTCGTCAATGAAATACGAATAACACGTGTATCGAATATTTGCGAAATGTTTTCGGATGGTTAGACGATTGTTCGTACGATGTAAAACTGATGATGACGACGACGACGACGACGACGACGACGACGACGACGACGACGATGTAGACGATTATTATAATTATTATTTTTATTAATGTTTCAGGTGTGAGCCGTTACGGGTTATACTCGTTATTTCCCGGGGGTGGCGGAGGTAGTTACGTCGCGGCCACTCCCGCCACCCCAGGGCCACCCACCCCCGCGCGCGCTTATCACGCAACAACGCATAAGGGTAAGTTTACAAAAACTTTCACCTTCTTTCAGTCTCGTTCTCGTCTCATCTCTTAAACAACTCGTCTCGTTTCGTTTCGTCTCGTCTCTCTCTCGCTCTCTCTTTTTATCTTTCTTTCAATCTCTCTGTCTTTGTCTACATCTATCTTACTCTTTCCATTCCCAACACTCAGCCACCCCCCAACACAAATGTTCGCTTGTCTCCATTTCTCATTCTATACTTCGCCTCCACGCTTCTCCCGTCGTTCAGATTAGATTTATTCGTTCCCGGAAAATCTGTGACAGACTGCGAACGTTTCTCTCTTTCAAGTGCATACGTCTTGCAAATCACCGGACGAAATAGCATCGTCCATTAAATTTTATATCTACGATCGGCTCTTATCTTTCTCTCTCTCTCTCTCTCTCTCTCTCTCTCTCTCTTTCCTCTTTTACATTTTTAATTTGCTACTATTTTGTTTTTTATTATTTTATTCTATTTCTATTTTACCTTGACCATTTTGTTCTCTCAAACGAAGAAATATGATTTTTTACTGCGAATTAAAATTGCATCGACAGATCGTATCGTTTTAAAAAAAATAAAACGAGATATATAAAATAATTTTCCTCAATTTCGACTACAACATTTGATACGTAGATGATTTCGATTATTTCCGTATGATAACGATCACGATACAATCGCGACGATAAGAATATCGAATTATATTCGGTGTTTTTTTTTTTTTTTTTTTTTTTTTAGAAATATCGTAGCTTGACAAATGTTCCAACTTATTTTTCTAAAAAATCTCGTGTGAATGAAAAATTTGATTGCACATTTTCAACTTAGTTTTTCATGTAAAGTTTACATTCTGTTGTAGCAGCAATTACCGGACACCTTATATATGTTCGAATGAATTGGAAGTACATGCAGGTAATTTGAATTCGGTACTTTGGAAGCACGTGCGTATGGATAAACACGCGATCGTTTATAATTGGCATCGCTGAGATGTAATCTAAATGAAATAATACGCACTTCGCGACATCGATTGTATATTACGGTCTGTGCGCCACCTGCTGCAGCTGCTTTTGAAAAAATTGGAAATATTTGTACATTGCCGTATATAGTGTTGTAACTCTTTCCAACTCGCGCGAAATTGTGTCGAACAATACAGAATCTCTCGTGGTGATTTAACATTAAGATATCGTAAGAAGTTACATTATCGTAAGAAACGAATGGAAAAGGAAAAGGAGAAAAAAGAAACAAAAATTTCTTAGAATTTCTCTTTGCAAAAGATCGAGATATCGATTAGGAAATAATACTTCTCCTTCTCGCTTAATCGATTTAAATCATAAATAATACATCTAGCAGAGCTATACAATTTCAACGTGAATTTCTACCACCTGAAAATTTGTTCCTTTTTCTCTTCTCCGTTTCTTTTGCTTTTTGTATTTTTTTTTTTGTATTTTTTTTTACTTCTAATTTTTTTCTATCTACATCCACTTGCATGGTACCATTGTGTAAATACAGGGATTATTTGAACGAAACGTTATTACTAGAGTCCATTTCATGCAAGTTATTTCAAACGTACAGTGCCCACTCTCGCATCATCATTTAAGAGCGTCGAAAGGCCAAGTTATTCTAGAGGAGGTCAGTTCGTCTGGATATTTCGGGATTTTTAGGTTTTATGTAGGCGTTTCTAAAACGTTAGCGGGTGGTAATGGCCGAGATTGAAATACTAAAGTCATTAAGAATGAACATTTCAAAGGAAAACTGTACATCAAGATTTTCACGTACCTACTTTTCTTTTTCAAATTTCATTCAACATTCCTACATTCTCGCAATCTCACAAATTGAACGATCCAAATTTATGATATAAAATACTCTTAGAATAATAGTTTTAATTATAGAAAAAAAAAAAAAAAATCAAAGTAAAGCGCGACTTTTGGAGACCCTACTACAATGACATACACAAATAGGCGCTCACCCCCGTACCTTCTTGGCCACTTTTTTCTCTTCTGCTTCTTCTTCTTCTTCTTTTTTTTTCCCCTCCTTCTCCGATCTGTCCTTTCACGTGGCCCAGTCGCGAGCAAAGGGCACAAAGGTGCAATTATGCAATTAAAGCGATGAACTAGGGGATGGGAGAGGTCTCCCCCGCGTGTGTATGCGAGAGTAAGAAAAATGCTTTCGGTCAAATAGAATTTTTTCATTAGTTTGCGTGTCCCGTTCTTGGCTGCCTCGTGTTCAGGTATATGCTCCGTTTACCTCTCGTTTCCTCTCTCCCTCTTAACGACCTTATTGTTCAAGGTGTAATCCTAAACGCCGCACCGTTTGCGAGGACCCAAAAGAGGATTTGCGTTGACGTAGGAAAGAGAGAAACAAAAGGTACCACCACCGGCACAACAAGAACAAGTTGAGGAAATCTTTTCCCTCCCAGTTCTACTCTCTAACTCAAGATTTCAATATTTTTCTTAGAGAATTATTTTCTATTTGCCAAAAGGTATAAAGTTACAGACCGAAGACTCGGTTATTAGATAAGTCATGTATTTTAATATTAGTTTAGAGAATTTGCTTGCTTTTCTTTGACGATTTACACGCTCGAATGCTTACTGAAATGATTTTGGCATTACAGGGGACACAAAATCGATTTTAATGAATAACTATATGTCCATATATATAGATATATAGATATATAGATATATGTGTAGGTATATTTCTCTATTAATCGTCCGAACGAATATTCGTCGAATGACCGAGTTCTCCATCGAGTTGTTCGATCGAACTCCACACGCTTTTACGCACCTATGACTAATTTTCAAATTTATCCATCTTTTTTCTTTTTTATATTTCACGCTGCGTTGAATGTTGGCCGCAGAACGAACAGGTGGGTTAGAGAATGGAAAATAGTTGTTAAATAAAAAGATAATGCTTTTGACAGATATCGAGTGGATCAGATTTGAAATTGACATTTCTATTGGTCGTCTACTGATATAAGCATAATACAGTTTTAGTTTAATTTAGTCGCAGAGTTGTCTTTCTAAAGTGTTCAATCCAAACTTTATCGTAGAACTTTAAGTACTAATCTTATCGATCACAAAATGTCAAATAACATTCGTAAGCCTGTCTGTCGATATGTTTTGACGTATGATCGAATATGTACCGAATAGCTTTATATAATCTAACATTGATAAAATTTCACCTTCAATTTGTCATCAAGATCTTCATTCTAATCGATCATTAGATCATTCTAATTTCGTGACAAAAAAATGATGTACTTAAACTTCGAAAATAAATTTGTACATTAATCTTATTCGAACAATTTTGTTTTATCGAGAAAAGATAGTTATGAAGATATGAATCTGCCATTGCAAATATCTGTCAAAAAAAAAAAAAAAAATAAAAAGAACGTATAAAATTGAACCAGGAACCGTAAAGGAAGTTTTGCGACGCTCTGTATATTTTTGCCGATATGTATGGTAAAAAGGGAGAAATCATGGTTTAGCATTTTGTTCGTATCGAATAGCAGTTAAGTGTCTTTTGCACGAGATAGGATAACGCGAAACGCGAATGCGATTCCGCGAAAATCGACAACACTTTTCGTTCCCCGCACTTCATTTTCCTTCAACTTCTTGTATTTTTTTTTGTTTGTTTTTTCTTTATTCTGTCTGTCTATCTTTCTCTCTCTCTCTCTCTCTCTCTCTCTCTCTCTCTCTCTATCTCGGACATGGAGTACGATTAAAATGAATTTGCATAGACTTTCCATTTATTTATCCGGCGGTCCGTTTATTGCATATTTATCGAAACCAGTGAGAAACTAACGGCGATAAATTTCAATTCGCCCATCGGCCGAAGCCGACGTGGCGGACGACGGGATTTAATATTTATACGATTCTCTTTCTAGTTGCTGGTTGGTTGATTCTGACTGCGTTCGCGCGCACGCAATACGATTTTACGCGACTTTTCCTTGAGGTTTATCGTTTATCGTTCGACCTTCTCCGATCTCTCGGTAGTTTCGAGGAAAATTCAAACGTACATTTTTATTTAACAACTTAACGCCTAAACTCTTTTCCAAAGTCTACTACCAAACAAAATATATTTTTTTATTTGTTTGTAATTTTAATGAACACATCTATCTCGCAATTATGGAACGTTTAATAGGAAAAATACGACGTAGAGAAAATAAGGAGTTCAAGGTGGTATATTTGAAAGATCGATTAAATGGAGAAATTCTTCAGTTTCAGAGAGCGTGTTCTCTGCTGCTGTCGGAGTTGGCGTTGGTGGGTACACCTGGGGTGCTCCCACGCCACCCCCAGGATCACCCTACAGCCCTGTCCCTGTGACTCAGCTCGAACTACTCGCCAAGAATTTGGCGAGTTTGGGGCCTCCCGCCCAACAGGCGTTGAGCCTTCAGGGTGTCGGCGTTAATGTCGGCAGTCTTCATCATGCGCAGCACACTCAGCACACGCAGCACACCCTCAATCTCGCTGGACTTCATCATCTGCACCATGGTGAGCAAACGACATTATTGATCGCAAGTAGGTAACATCTTTCACAACGATATGGTTTCAATTCTAATCAATATTTTAAGACGAAACATAAATAATATTTTTCTCTATAAAATAATCTCTTATTTGTCCTTAATATTGTTGAGTCATTGCAATTGGAATTTTTTTTATTAGAGATAATGTTCGAAAATAAATGTTTTTTATTTAATTTATCAATGAAATAAAGTGTCGTGTCAAAGAGACAGAGAGAGATGACTCACGAGAATTCTAGGGAAAAATACTGTTGTCGCGTCAGTGATGATTTCATAGTGCAAAGGGGTTGCATTACTATCAAATAATTAGTTCTAAGTTGATCACAAATATATGAGATTTGTTGTCGTGAAGATTAAATTGTATTTCTTTGGATTTGTCTTCTTTCATTCTCCGCGAAAGAAGGTTTACATCAGAACACTTTTTCGCCCCAACTCTCCCTGGTGACCGGTAATGCGCCGACATTGACGATCAATAGTTTTTCCCCAAATTCGACGGGTAATGTCGTGCCGACGACAGGAGTATTGCTCCAGGAGTATCAGTCACCGACAGGCTCGACGGGCACCGGTTGTTCCGTCGCAGTGAACGGTTCTTCATGTCCAACGAGTTCGACGAGTACCACGATGGTTGTCCAGGGTGGCAACCAGGTTGTCCAGACTACCGCGAAGAAACGAGAAGCCTTCCTCTCGAGTCAAGGTCAACCGGTGAAACTGGAGAACAAGTCGACGAGGCAGCCCTGCGTTTGCAGGAACAGCAACGGTACGTAAACCTTTCTTCCTTTCTTTCATTCTTTCTTTCTTTCTTTCTTTACTTCCCTTCCTTACTTTATTTGATAGATACGTCTCGAGTACTAATATAGTTTGTACAAAGTTATCACGATCTAATTCTTCTTCAATTATGTCCATCATGTTAGGACATAGCAATAAACTGGTCTTCGTTCTTTACACGCGATGGAATAATAAAGAAACCACACTAAAATTGATCAGCAATTTTCTATTTAAACGTTTCATTGGAATCGTTTGATCATAGAGAGTTTACTATAGACGAACAAAAAGTTATTTCACCTGGAAATAGTTACTGACACATCCTCTAAACCACTGACGTAATTCAAACTTAAACGCATTGAAAAAGAATTCTACGTTGTATGCATTTGCGAATCATTGAATTCGTTCACATCGAATTTTCTTATTTTTCTGAACAAGACACGTAGCACAGTAGTAATAGTAGTAATAGAATAGTAGTAGTAGTAGTTTGATTTACGTGAAAAGCAAATATTAGCGAGACTGAACGTTACCGATTGTCCGTTATCACACGTACAAATAACTCGTTAGATTTCAATCGAAATTTTCAATTGGAACACGTAGAGTAGAGTAGAGAGAGACACACATGTGTACTAACATACGTATTAGTCGATGGCCCGAAGGCGTTATCGACGACGAACCTGTTACGCCAAGAAGAGAGGAGCAGGAAGACGAGACTTCTACGGGCTGGGAGTTAGCCATCGTTGTTGATGCAATTGACGACCTTGAAACCAACTCCCTCCGGGAGTCTTCTACTCTAAGTCCACGTCAACTATAATACTACTACTACGAGAAGAAGAAGAAGAAGAAGAAGAAGAAGAAGAAGAAGAAGAAATACAGACGGGAGATCGAGAAAGAGAGAAAGGAAGGAAAAAAAGAAATAAAAAGAGAAACGAAAGAGTAGAAGAGGGGAGAAAAAATAAAAATAAAAAAGAAAGGAACTTGGTGTATGAGAGAGAGAGAAAGAGAGACATAGATATATGAAGTAGTGGAAGAGAAAAAGATAGCAAGTCTTACGCAAGATTCTCTCGCTTCTATATTTACTATGCGAGAAACGACTCGTTTCTCCCTCTCTTTCTCTCTCTCTCTTTCTTTCTTTCTCCTTCTTTCTCTCTTTCTACGCGTTTCTCCTTGGTGTCTCCGACGCCAGTTTTACGCTTCGTTTCCATGAATCATTCCTTGGCCACCATGTGACGTCGATACTTCCCACGAAAACCAGTCCTTACCTTCGTAGAAACTGGGCAAAGACTTTTGTGGAAGAGGTCCTCAAATTTTTTCTTTTCTCTACTTTTTTTCTTCTGCTTCTTTTCCTTTCCCTTCCTTTCCTTTTCTTTTTTTTACTTTTTTTTTATACTTCACATTGACAGCTAAAGAGTTAAGATCAAATCGGCGGAATAAGTTTCCCGTTTGAAAAAAAAAAAAACGACGTTTTAATCATTCGATATAGTTTTTGTTGAGGAAGAAACATTGATTTGATTATTACGCGAATCGTTCTTACGGCAAATCGATTAATATCCCATAAGCTATAATTGAATTATATTTATATTATTATTCGACTTTATTGGTGGTATTGTTAAATATTAAAAATAAAAGCATCGAATTGAACAAATTTTGAAAATAAAATTAATCCTTTTACTCGTATGATTCATTACGTATGAAAACGGCCGATTATTTATTTTCATACTTAACGACGAGGTGGATTAAATAAAAAGATATGAGTAAATTCGTTAGTTCTTCGTTAATGATATGTGAATCGATTAATTAATGTGTTAAGTGGCGATAATGTGATTAATTTTATAGGTAAAACGAAAGTGGTCCATTCGGATGCTGGCTGCAGCAGGACGTTGCCCGTCGCATCGTCCTGGAATGGACAGGATGCGAATAATGGCGTTAATTCTAATACGAATAATAATAACAACCCAGTGAAGAGAGAACCCTTGGCCTCTGTACCTTGTCAGGTTGCCGAGGTTTCGACCTCTCTTCACGCTACCACTACCTCTGTTAAGATCGAGCCGGTTCCCCCGAAATCGGAAAATGGTGAGCTTACTCAGCATTCCATTTTTCTTTTTATTTCCTTTTCAGAAATCAATATATACAGAGTTAAAATCCTACGAACAACGAATTTCTTACAAATTGTGTTAGGTAACTTGGATTAAAAACTTTTCAACTGGCCCACGTAAGGTTGTTTCTGTGCATACAATCCTGATCAAAATAATATTTGTATTTGAAGATTCTTTTAATAGATATTAATTATTAGAAGATATTTGAAATAATTCCGGTCAAGTTTTCTTTCTTTTTTTTTTTTTCTATGCACCACACACAAACGATATATATATATATATATATTTTATATCGATTTTATTAAAACATCTGACTTCAATTAACGATTGGTCGCGATTACGAGCTTGTTCATTCTCGCGGGTTTGTTATTTGCGAATTTTTTTTTTTTTTTTAATTACCATTCGAAAGTTAATTTCGTCGTATAAAGTTTGTTTTCGCGTATGCGTCAGACAGGCGCGAATGCATTCACCGGCTTGTTATTGAACCTTTGAACCAAACGAAAGAATAAATTAATGATTTTCGATTATTTTTAAAACATTTACGTGAACGATTAATCGTCGCTTTGATCCTTCATTTTTGTTATTTTTTTTTTTCTTGTTCTTTCGCTTGATGTCGTATGAGAGAATTTTTGTTGATTTCCACGTAGATACCTAAAAAACTTTTGCCTTCCGTTTATATCTACTGGCCTGGAAGGGAAAAAAAACAACTCCCTATCAAAGTTATGAAATAATTACCATATTATGAAGGAAAAATATTGGACAAATTTTTCTCGAATTGCGCTGCTGAGAAGTGGGTTTATATTCAACGTTCTTTCGTAGGAGAAAAAAAAGTTTCCCTTGAAAATCAGCTTTCCTCGGTCGTTAAACGCATAGAAAGAGTTTCGCAGGGTAAAACCGAGAATTATCTTATGTACGATCCGTGCTTGAAAACTTACTTTAACGACGGCACTCGCGTTATGTTCATAAACTACGTTCTTTCTGTATCGTCCTATCAAAGGGAATAAAACAAAACAGAAATGAAATTCAAATTGAAATAGATAATATTTCAAATTGGAAAGAAATTTGTAAAGAAATTCGTGTGTGTGTGTGTGTGTGTGTATGTGTGTTCCTCTTCCTTGATAAATTTGGTTTGGAATATCGAGAGGTAGCTTCGGTTATTACACTTGGTATGCGTGGCTTTGTATGAGTAGTACAGGTATTCGTGAAATATTGATTATCTCGTACGGTCCAATACAAAATTCATTTCCATCGTCCGGCCTTTTTATTATATAGATTTTAATGGGGTGAGTTCTTTGCTGGATGGGGGGGGGGAATAGAATAGAAAAGAGAGGTCAGGTAGTCGAAGAATTGGAGGCTTACTATAGGAGCCACGATTTTCATCGATATGCAATTAATGCAAAAATCACAGTTCCGTAACTATCCGGCTGAAAGAGGGAAAAAAGAGTCTCTTTCTCTCAGACGATACAATAATCGAAAAGAGAGAGAGAGAGAGAGACGGCAAATCCCATTGATACTGCTTATCGGTGAATATAGCGAGAACTTACACCGTGCCTTTATACCTAGGACCATTCGATTGGCCATAATCCTCTTCACGAATCCTGCAACGTAGAAAGTACTAATTGGCCAATATCCCAATATCCATGCATTTATTCCTCTTCGTTTGTCGTTGAAATCGCGCGCGAATCATCACCGTTTGTGTTCTAACAGCTCGTTCTAAATGTTTCAGAAAAAAAAAAAAAAAAAACAATTAATCCCCGATCGTTACGGTCAAATTTAAAAGATTCCCAAAAATACGAACACATTGGAATTGCTTGGATAATATTTTTCATCGATGATTTTTACCTAAATACTCACGAATTATGAAATATTGTTTTTTTTTTTTTTTAAGCTAGAATTCGCGATTATGAGTTAATCGGTAGGATATTTTGATCCCGAGGAAAGACGTTGACAAGGTGTGATAAACGCGTTAAGCAGTGCGTTGTAAGTTAAATAGCGAAATGGGGGAAAATGCAAGATAATTGTAGAGAATTCGTGTGGTTGAGGAAAGAGAGACAAGCGAGCGTAGTAGGATGCATCCTATTCGTTATGCATTTGTTCCCCGGAAACTGCTCTCTCTCTCTCTCTCTCTTTAGTGTGTTTACCACGCCGGACGTTTTCCCGAGGGATTGCGGATCTGTCATTTAAAAAAGAAACGCCCGGAATAACTTATACGCTTGGCTTACAATTAGTCGCTTGGTTTACTCTCCTATCGGATGCACCGTATGCATGGTGCATTAGTAAGTTATTTTACGGGGATAGGAATACGTTGTGCGAATGAAAATTATGATGGTGACGTTAACGTTCCTACGAAAAATAGATAGACGGGAAGAACAATCGACAAAGAGCTTTTTCACTAAATATTCTACACAATTTTCTTTTTTCCTTAAATTTAATTTAAGAATACACAATTATTATTAGAAAAAGTGAACCTTCTTCCTATAACCCTTTTCTCATTTTCAAAATCATTCACGCGTACACACATATCCAAAGTTTTTCTTTCTTTCTTTCTTTCATAAAAGTATGCGACGTAGTATCACATCTGCCAAAAGACTGTAAAAGCAGATGGTTGAAAAAGGATGAGTAGAAGGAAACGTAATCGAGTTTCTTCACCATCTCCTTTCTTCGGAAATCGATTTTCTCTCAATTCGTCTCAACCTCCTGTTCGATGACATTCGTCCATCCATCCATCCATCCATCCATCCATCCATCCATCCAACCATCCTTCCTTGATGCATCGTCACGCTTGAAGCATGGACGGATGCGTTCTTGGAACGTTAGAGGAACCACGAGAATTCAGTTCGATGCGTTTCTCCTCTCTGTTTCATCATCGTATTCCTGCAGATGAACAAACGCAACCGAGTAATTTGCGACCAAATATTCAAATTGCTTTCATTTTACTTTAATACGATATCCACGCGACTAATTATAAGATATTTCATTAATTATGAAATGCAATTTTTCATTCTTTTTTTTTGTTTTTTATTTATCCTAACTTCATTTGCGATCAATGATACTAACGATAATTAAGTTAAAACCATCCCCCTGTAATTCTCACGGAAACAACAAACGCTAAATGCTTTATAATAAAATATAATTTCCTTCGTTCTTAGCTCGCATATTTTACCAACACATAATATAATAGTAATAATTAACATTATAATGAAATAATGAAATACTAGAATTTTTTCTTCTTATTCTTGGAATAAGAGATTTAATCAAGAAATACAATTTCATTTGATTGTAGGATAATTACTTTCGTTAAACGACGTTTAACAAATTCTAGAATTTACATGTTTAATTACGTTTGAATTAACAATTTTCGAGATAGGTGTTTTTGAAAGGAAATCTCTCGTTCTCTTTTCTTCTTAGAAAGGCACTCGCGTGCTTCCATCCGAGCGCTTGTCTCGATAGACGAAACAAAGGCTCGTAAGAGAGTTCTAAGATGTTAACCAACGATTTCTCTTCTCGAGTCCCTTCTCTCCTTGCTTAAAGTAAGTACGTACAATACGCGTGTAACCCCTTTATCCACGACGACGTTATACACATATCACACACACACACTTTTCTATATGCAATACGTGGTACGTAGACGCTACGCTTCTTGTTCTTATTCTCCTTCACACACTTTCGATGCAATGTCGTATTACACTCGAGAAAAGACTCCCCTCGAAGTTGCCCTCCCATTGGTCGAGCACGCCAACATTCAACCCCCGATCCGTGGCTTTTCCTTCCCCTACTACTCTGTCACGAAAAGAAATTAATCGAGCCACCGAAATACGCCAGTCTCGACGATCAAAGCTTATGTACGTTGCTTTTACCATGAAAAAAAAAAAAAAAATAAGAAGAAGAAAAAGAAAAAGCAAAAATGGGAGTCGACATTCTCATATCCCCTTTCCTGTTACCCTCACTGTTCATCGATGTATTATTATACTTTCAATCTTACCAATAATCGAACGAAATTTCGTATTTTTAGTTTGCTTTCTTAAATCTTTCAAAGTTTAATTATTAATAACTAGAGAGTGAAATGGTGTTGATAATTACTATTTCAAACTTTTAGGAAATGTTCGAACTGTTCGTTATTGGTTTTGTTTCCAAACTATATACGTCACTTTCAAATCGGTTTTATAATTGTTATTTTTCGGTTCTGTATTAAACCGAACCGTAACTGATACCGCCGGACTGTTTTAATGTTAAAGAACCAATACGAAATCGATATAAAATCGGTTTGAAAGGACCGAAAGTGATACGAGTCAGAACCGTTAAATCAATTGCAGTTAAAAATATTTTGTTCATCTCTCATCGCTGCTCCAAAAATCGAAATCGATATCGTAACAGTTTTATTGTTATCTTTACTAAAAAAAACTAATCAAACTCATGGTGATAAAAATAAAAGAAGAATAAAATAGAACAAATGGATATATTATTTGATATATACTGTGTGTTTGAAATACGCAAATAAACAAAATTTGGCATGTCTCGTTCATGTGTATCACCCGGTTCTGTTATATATATATCGATTATAGTAATTGAGCATTTTTTGTGGCTGTAGTAGCAGCAGCAAAAGGTTAAGTAGGAGGTGCGTGGCACGCATGGCGACGCAAACACAAGGCGTGGCTCGAAAGAGTCTCGACCCTACAAGTCTATCCCTTTCGTTCACAACTACACCCACGATGTATATAATACGTGTATCTTAGTCGACGAACCGCGACAATCTACGTGAAAAACTTTGGCCTATCAGCTAGCCAGCCTACGAACACCCCCTTATTGCAAATTTAATCAAAGTAGAAGAGAGTGGAGTGTACTCTGTGCTTGTGCGAAAATAATTTGATATTTTGCTCTTTGATTTTTTCTACCCTTTCAAAAGGTCTTTTAAGAGTCTCCGAATGAAAAATATGTTATTCAAATAATTCCATTAAATTTGAAACTTTTGAAAAATCGATAAATGTAATTCTCCTTTTTTTCCCCTCATTTTTTTTCTTTTTTTTTTTTTGATAATTTTATGAGATATCGTTAATCGAAGATATTCGATTATTTTAATAGATTTGAAAAAGCAAAGTTAATTTAGATGAAATTTTTTGATTACATCCAATATTCCATGTAGAAATTTGTAATCATTTCAAATGATTCGTTATAAATGTAATTTTATTGAAATGCCACCACAAAGTCACCCACGTGGGGTGTTATGATATCGTTCGATTATTATTATTATTATTATTATTAATATTTCTCTTGAATCTTTTTCATTTTAGGTATATTGGTATCGAATACTAACGCAGGTGGAATACCAGTTGGAATTGCTATGGCAAGACAGAGATCACAGCATCAGGAAAGCTCGGCTTCCATGCGGAATGTCTCCCTCAGTCATCATACGTCGCATCACGCAAGTTATCATCACTTTCAACCTGACAATCTTGGTGAGTATCTATATATATTACACGTATATATTATATATCTTGTACAGACTGCATATCTATTACGTATGTTTATACACGCATTTCACAATTTATGTCTAATATAATATTGATAATAATACAAACGCGTGCTTGAAATCAATTGATTTTCTGCCATAATGATAGTCAGTAGTATTTAACAATGTTAAATGAATTCGTTGTATTATTATTTAATAAAATATCTCTTGAATATGAAATCGAATGAAAAATGCATTGAATGGAAGAACTCGTACAAAAAAGATATACGAACAAATAATCGTGTGTATACTATAAAATACAATTTGTATTTTATATGTATGTGTGTGTGTGTGTATCTCTTTCTCTCTTTTGGAGAATCTTAGTTTTGCACCTTTTAAAATTTGTATAGATGATCGATTATCGAATAGATGTAATTAGGAGAAAATATGAAATTAAGTTGGTTCGTTAGTTTGTTGGTTGTTAAAAAAAAAAAAAAAATGTATTCGCGAGTACAATGCGTTAGTACGCGCTCGTATAGAACGGATAAGCGTTATCGGATGATACGCGGCTGTTTTCATTTGAGCCAATGTGCAGAGAGAGGCATCGGTATTCGAGAAGCGGCTCGAACATCTGGGCGGAATATTAACGAGGAACGACGAAGAGGGGGATGCGGACATTCTTTCGAAATGCCTCTTCCGTTCCGCGAAGGGTAAAACCGATTGCGCGATATCAAATCATCCGGCAAATTTTCATTCCGACGTTTTATTCGAATTCTCCAGAAATATCTAGTGAGAGTCAACGTAGTAGACAGTTACGATAATAAAATCAAGTTTATAGTTCAAATTTGTGCAAACATATTATATATTCTAAATGTACATGCATTGCATAGGGAACAACACACGAAAAAATATGTAATTGTGATTTGATTATACCTAAAACAAAAAACAAAACAAAAACAAAAATATCTTCGATAAGTCGGAATGAACAAAAAAATGATAAAAAAGAAAATCTAAAGCTTGGATATTTTAATAACATTTAATAGTAGAAATTTCTTGCAAACGTTGATAAAAAATAAAAAATAAAGAAGTAAACGAGTCTAACGAATAATTATATTTTAATGATCCTCAATGAAATAAAAATATCTACGAAGAAATATTGGAGTAGTATAAGGTCGGAAGAGAGAGAGAGAGAGAGAGAGGGAGAGAAAAAAAAGGGAGGAAGTATGAATAAAAAAGAAAAAAAAAAGGCTCTCGTAAGGAAGGAATTAAGAGAGTCATTCATACCGTATAATCACAATTCTTGTGGTCGATATTGTATCGTTTCTCTGAGACGCTCGTTTTTCGTTTCCTTCGTGCCGGCGCGGTAGAATGACAGTAATTTGCACGAGCCGGGTAATTTTCAGAGTGCGCACGTCTCCGTGGTAATTGACTGTCGCCGATTGCATATGCAAATATCGATAATCGAAGCAGCCTTACGACTCGATGCCAATGATTGATGTTCCGTACTAAATAGCGAGAGCAACACTGACACATCGGAACGGGAATTTCATCGACAGACAATAATTAGATATACTTGTGCTTAGAGATATTCCAAAGAGAAAGAGAGACAGAGAGAGAGAGACACAGAGTGAGAGAGAGAGAGAGAGATAGAGAGAGAGAGAGAGTAGAGCAACGTTGCATTGATTTCCTTTCAATTTGATAAGAATTTTGTAAGATCGAGTTGTTCCGTGTTTGCTTTTTTACATTGAAGATAATGAAATAGTAATGGAATTAGTTTGATCGTTAGTTTGGGCCCTGTCGTCAGGTTCATCAAGCACGGCCATGACGGTAGGCGGCGCTACGCTCGTCCACTGCGGCGGTGGTGGTGGGGAGGAACGTCCGGCCCACCTCGCCATTCCTTCGGGTGCTTTGGCGCCCTCGTTGAACGCGGCCCTCGGTTCAAGTCTTGGTTCGAGTCTTGGTTCGAGTCTTGGTTCGAGCCTTGGTTCAAGCCTTGGTTCGAGCCTCGGTCCAAATCTCGGCCCGAGTCTTGGCTCCGGCCTGAATTCCACTTTGAATTCCAGCTTGAATTCCACGCTCGGTAGTACCGCAACGGCCGCGGCCACTACCGCTTGGCCTCCCACGCTTTGGCAGTATCCGGCCTCGGCCGCGGCCGCTGCCGCTGCTGCTGCCGCCGCAGCC